TTGCCGAAGTACGATCTAGTTATTCACAGTAAATATTCTGCGTTAAGATTGCATTGTTAATTGGCAATATCCCCAAGTGTATAATCACATTTATCCCGAACAACACATACTTTTCTGTCAGGTTTTGTTATTGATAGGCCTGTCTTCTCGGCTCGCGTTTAAGCATATAATTGACCAGGACCCATTTTCCTTTTCACGTAATATCATCACGCAGCCACTTATTGATGATTTAGCTACCTCTGTGTGTCCGCTCTTTTCTGAAGTTGAAATTGGGTCAGTTCATGTGAAAATCAAATCGAATGTATCCAAAAAAACCCAAAGTGAAAAACAGTGAAGTATGTATCTGCCAAACATCGCGTTCTTTATCTAAAGTCTGTTTTTTAATCTCAGAGCCTAAATTGACACATGCAAATGACAAATTTAGAAATAATTATACCAGGCTTTTTTGATCTATGTTTACCTAAAACCAGTATTTTGGTAAATCTATAATTTATTATCGGTATTAGACGATAACCTTAGTAATAAAATGCATTGTTCGTGATAAAAAACACTTTTGACATCATTCTTCACTTAATCTCACTATTAAGAGACGCCAAAATTTTCGTTTAAATTAAATAAATAGATAACGCTCTTAAAAATAAGTTCATTCGAAATCACTTGGTTATTTTTCAAAAATTAATAATAATTACATAAATGGTTATTATAGACTAACTTAGCCTGTTACCCCCTATGATGAAGCTTCCCGTAGGTGAATGATTTTTTTAAATCGGTCCAGTAGTTTCTTTATAATACTAGTATCGATAAGCAATGGTCATAAGATGGCTACATCGATAGTCCCACTCAATTTTATTATTAGCAAAATATCCGCGTTATCGAATAAAATTACTTTGATTTTCATCTTCGAAGACACTACAACAAAAAGGTATATGTATTTAAGGGTGTGTAATATGTGGCATAATAACAAGATATATAAAATTTACAGCCTATACCTTTGAACAACATAATTTTGATTAATATATCGTTTTTAATATTATTAATATACAATAGCATATAATAAATACCGTTAATTAATATAATTTTCTTTCATATAAACATTATTTTACATAAAACTATGTGATATAAATCTTTTAATCATATAACACTCGTTTATTCTCGAGTATTAATGATATCCTATAATATTCGATTCTTATAGCAGTCTCTTCATATAAAAATCAAATATCATGAACACTTAAAATAATTTATAATAAAATGGTTGTTTACTAGGTTTAATTCTTTTCCTCCTAAGGAATTTACAATAGAAGTTACCTTAATGAATAACTCATAAATGGTGCTCGCCGGCCGCTACTGCGGCAAGCTCGCTGTTTTTTTTTGGTCACAGTTCTAACCTAACCTTTTTTTGACGCTGAGAAATGCGTTACGCATATCCGCTCCCCCCAACGGGGGGTCGGCAGGTTATGTGGGACTCTTCCTGCGGCCCCACTCCCGAAGGGCTAGCCCCTTAAAAAGCAGGAGGAGCGACGTCCCTCGCATAGCGCTGGGAGGACCACGCACTGCACACCTCCAGAGTGTTGCGCAGTGTCCCCCGCAGCACCACAGTGATGACAAAGTGGTGTATCCTCTGTCCCTATCTGGTGCAAATACTTTCCAAAGCAACCATGCCCGAAAAACACCTGCACCAGACGGAGTGAGCAGGTGAGTGCTTCGTGGAGCCTCTCCTTTCAGTCTCAAAGGACAGGTTGGATGGCGGCAAAAGTGCAGACTCCGACGGCCGTTGACTCTAATGTTCTAGCTAGACCAATCTTTTATTAGAGTTTCCTCATTCCTCAAACTGTCTTCGGACAGCAACCATCTCAATGAGGGCTAGGCGGTCTCCCCTCACCAGAGATGGGTCTCACTCAACCATGCGCAGTTATGCGCATTGAGGGAGTTTACCCAGACAGAGCCATGCTCCGTACTACTCCGGCAAACAGGCGCTGACAAACAATATCCGGGCCCCCCAAATTCGGCAGTAGTCTGCCAAGGGCCAAATTTTGGGGCCATTTGGTTGAAGTGGTAGGTAAAGTTCCACCTACTATCAATCCAGAGGCCCAAATACTTTATGTGTAGTTCGATACAGATTCCCACACCATTCACCCTTAAGTGCGCATCAGTCGGCAGCCTATATCGTGGCTCGTGGCACAAGAATGCCTCCGTCTTGTCTACCACTACCACTAGCCACGTCCAGACGTAGTCTCCGAATTCTCTCGATTACGAGCTCCGCCGAAACCTCCGCTTCCGCTTCGTGGATCCATATGAGTCCCTCCGCGCCATAACGAGTGTGTCATCTGCATATCACACGACACTCATACGGAGGAGGAGTGATCCACGAAGAACCCAATTGTACCCAAGGTTCTACAGGAGTGGTCCAAGGACCGACCCCTGTGTTTCAGTAATTTATCTCCGAAAACTTTAAAGCTATGTTCTGAAAACATAAAAGGAATATTTACACAAAAGTTAATGAAAAACTGAAATCTACTAAAAAAAATAGAATTAAACGATTACGCAGTTTAGTTAAGAATAAACGCCATCTAGTATCACCATTATCAGCCCTTTTACACTGCAAGAGTTCAGTCATTCTTTATGGATTGGTTAAGGAGGATGGGCCATGACCCTCTAAACTGACCCAATGCAGCTGGGATCAAAGGCATAACCGTGCCTTCCGAGTCACGGAGTAGCTTGAGATGATAATTTTTCGGTCACCCATCCCGTGGCCGGCTTTTGCGAAAGTTGCTGAACAACAACGAACGAGGGCCGCGACGCTTATCATTTACGCTACTGAGCTACTCATTAGTAAAGCAAAGTTTTAAGTTGTTACTGATTTTATTTGAAAACTCAATCTTGACCAAAACTGCGATGTAGAAGTATACTTTACGCCACTAGTATAGCACTAGTTATTTAAGATAGGAGTGCGGAAAGTAAGGTTTTACGAATAAGGGCCAAATTGAAAACACGAGCGTAGCGAGGGTTTTCATTGGCACGAATTCGAAAAACCTTTTACGCTCAAGTTTCTTACAACATTTTTCAATGCTTTTTGCGAGGAAATAAAACAAATATATATATTAGGTTAATAAAACTAAGTATGTATTAAAGGTAAAAATTATTTGTTAAAATTAAACGTGATATTTGAACATGTTTTCGTGTCATACATTTTTATTTGAAAATATTCGTTCTAGGCTCCTTGAAATACTTTTGCCTCTAAAGTTTGACATATATTCATCAATTTTTTTTTTAATTTCTTTGGTGCTCGGCCAAAAAAAAAAATACTTTTAAGCACGTGTGCAGTAAAGGATTTCAGTACATTTTTATTTAACACGTGTTTAAAGGCTCACTTTCGGTCTTCACAATGGATTAAAAAATAGGGCTTTATGAGCAACTGCGTTGAAAAATATATAAGGTTCGTGTTTTCTTTCGTATGGAAAACTATTTGTACATACTTGAACATTTTCAAAAACATTTATTCAAAATGTTATTTTTGTTATCAATTGTGTACTCAAATACTAATTTTGATCATAAACTCGCGACAAGTGGTTTTGGCAGTCTTCGCGATATGTTAGTCTGACGCTGCCTAAAAAAGTCTGTAGGGACCGAAACAAGTGGATATCTGAAGGTGCGAGGTTAGGACTATTCGGTGGACGCATTACAGCTCCCAGCCGAACTCTCTTAATTTTTGCTTAGTGACAGAAAATTTGTGAGAAGAGGAGAAAATAGCGTTATCATGATAAAAAACCACACCCCTTCGATTGATTAATTCTGGCCACTTTCTCTCACTTCTTGCTTTAATCTCATCAGTTGTTCGCAGAGTTTAGAATCGATGGTCCTGCCTGGCAAATGAATTATCAAATTAAACTTTAAATCTGGATAATCTTTGGGCTACTTTATATCCTACTTAATAGGTCCTTAGGGTTCACGCGGGCCAAGCCGCTGGCGGAATGCTAGTTTATTATAAACCATATTAATTGAAGAATTTGTCAAATAAACAAAGTATATATTATTAGTATATATTATTAATAAACATATTATTAAAGACCAAATTGCAGCCAGAACTTTTTACTTGTTTGTCCCTAATCAACACAAAATGAGACTTATTCTGTTGGGAAATCTTAGCCAAATAGCAAATTTCTTATTCGCTTCCAATGATTGCTTACCTACTAAAAAAAACGAATGGAAAATTACAATTCCGTATAATACTCGTACTTTAAAAACCATAATAGTCAATAACATGAAGCTGTGAGATTAAATATGAGAGTATGTTATCATTCGAAGCTACTAATTATGATATTGATAATTTATGATCCCACACCTACTAAGGAATTGTAGACGAAAGGCGTATAAATATTGACTTTTGTTTTATTCATCTAATTTTGTTAATTCTCCTAAAATTAAATTTTAATCCAAATATTAAATATTATCCCTTTAGTCATTTGAAATTTAATTGCTTTGAACACAGACTTGTTCTGAACGATTACTATTTTTTATATATTAAAATAATCAATAATCAATAATAATTATTAAAAAGAAATACATATTTTAGCATTCCATTTCAAAAAATGTATCATAAGTTAACAACGTAACCACAAATAGATAGCGACAACTTTAAAGAAAATCTATTTTGCTATTTCACTGTTGGTCTGAGAGGCGAGGGTTCTCCAAATCCCGAGAGTTGCGTGCTGTGTGGGTGGCGGGATGCGCCGGGCGCGGCGGGCGCATCCGCCCTGCGCCATTGCCGCCAGTCGCCCGCAGCCGCGCGCTCGGCCGGCTGCCGACCCACCCCTACCCTACGTAACATAAATGCTGCGAATTGTTTATTATCGAGTTATTCAGCACATTCTGAATTAGAACACTTTACCTTTGCTCTGAATTATATTTTAAAAGTTTTCCACGTTGTTGTTACGTAGTATTTACAGTTTATTACTAGATGTTGAAGTGATAAAATTATATAACTATAATATTAAGAGTTTAATATGTTCAAAAGTTGCTGTGCGCGGCCAAATAAAAAAATAAACAAAAGTAAGTCTAAAACGGAGAAACTTGATACGATGGCAGAATCATACGTTACTGAGATTAAGGAGAAGCCAAATGATACTAAAAATAGTATAAATAATGATATGGAAAAAATAATTGTAGATAAAAGTGAAGAAAAAGTACCATCTGATGATTGCGTTTCTAAACAGCAATATGATAGTGATACAAATATTCAGCATACCGATGAGGATAAAGTGTCTGCTGTGGATTTGAATACTGATGCTGCTGATGAAGATACTATTGAGCGAATTTTATTCAAAAGAGATTTGTCTAAAAAACGGTTCTCAGTAGATTATAAGAGGAGTCGGCTAGATTTTAAAAGGTTCTCCGTTGATTGTAGACGAGATTCCGCTACCTTAGAAGAGTTGGCACGTTTGGAACAAGAATTAGCCCGGACTAATGTTGATGTACGTCCTGGGTTGAGAAGGAAATCTTCAGGAATATTAAAGTCTACTCCTAGCAGTAGTAATGGAATTACCGAACCACGAGTGCCGAGTAAAGAAGAATCGTTATCAGATGATGATGAAGTATTTGAAGGAAAAGTCACGCCAAGTGGCACTCACGAAGGTCCCCAAGAGCCTCCCGCGACGCCTGTTGGTCGTGATGAGTTGGCCCTGCGAAGGCATAGGTTTTTCTCTGATCTCGTATGTGCTGCTCGTGCTGCAGTCGAGCATCGAGTTCGTTTTGATCCCCTTGGACCGACGGTTGCCGATCCAGGTAAAGAAACCTTAATTTCAATAAAAATAATGATTATTAAATTATTACCTAAATGGAGGCGTAAAATCAAAAGACTGTCTCTGGACTAGAGGTCATCCATAAATTACGTCAGCAGGGGAGGGGGGGGGGGTTTAAAAATCCTGATTTTTGTGTGTCGTAATTTATGGACGGCCCCCTATTTCATTATGATTGGCAATGAGATAGGGACATAGGATAGGTAAAACGGTTTTTAATTGTAAACTATGGTGATTATTGCAAAAATACTGCATAATTCCCTCTACTACGAAGTTCGAAGAAAATTAAAATAATTATATTTAAAACTCACAAACAATCTCCGTGATAATTATTTTATTTTAAAGTAACATAATCTATTGGCATGGTGCCCTAAAATCCGAACTTTAAAATCCTGACGCAGGAAAAATCAATGCGTAGATTGGCTGGTACCCAAGATAACGCTCCAAACCTCCCTTAAACCGCTCCATTTTCAGTTTTTCTGTTGAGAGCAGCATTAATCACTATAGCTGCGAAGGGTCGCCTTTGACGTTTTTCCCCCAAAATTATTTAGATGTCTGATTGGTGTATATTATATAATTTTGGCTATGAGTACTGTTGACATAGGTGAAGTCATGTTATTCAATTACTCTACTAATCAATTTGTTGTCAGTGAACCAACCCTTTTATGACGTCACTTATTAGCTTGATGGTCTTTGACAAGACCTGAGCACGCTTAATTAAAGATGAAATATGCTTTACCCAAAAGTATCTTGATAATGTAGTTGGAGAGTGGTTGATGGAGAACAACGTCAATATATACATATATAAATAGCAATTAGTCTGTTGTTACTCTTTTATTATTGACAAAATTGTTGTCTCCTTACCAACTCATTATGCATGCGGTCGCGTCACGTAAACTTTTTTACCTTGGGTGAATTGGCGACGAGATCCAATTTATGTCGTGAAATTCGGTGGTTATCCGATTTATTTTAGATGATATCTTTATATTATATTTCATCAAGACTATTTCTATACATATACATATATAGACATTTTCTATAGATAACTTTACTTGTTAATAATATAATATCAATAAACTGTTGGTGTATTTATGTTTGGAACGTTTCTCGTGTAACTAAAAATTCCATTACTGGCGAAAGCCGACTCCGATGTTGACATCCGCCAAATATGATATACGGAGCACCCCAGGGATTATGAAATGTTTTTTTTTCTAGTTCCATAAAGTTCGCCTTATTCATCATGACTTTTGTAGTAGTTAGGTTAATGTAGTTGGGTGTAAAGCTTAATTATTTTTCTGACATTCTGGTATTTTTACTTGAAAGATATCTGTTAAAAAGTAAAACTGTTTAACAGGAATTCTACCATTTGGAATGGATTACATCTTATAACACATAACAAAAGTTCTTCATAATATTATTTATTGCATTTTTAAATAATGCAGAACTTGTATCTTGATCAATAACGTACAGGGCGATTTAAATAGAAAAAAGAACATTAAATTTATATTTTACACCTCTTCGATCTCGCACGCGTGGTATTAATAAAACAGGTTGGACTGGACATGAGTGTTTTGGAGATAATGTTATATTATAGTATTTACATTTATGCAAATATGATTTTTTAGATTTACATATAGTACGATGCCACCGGTCAGTGACTGTGTATTGATTAAAATAGCGCGATGAAGCGTTATCAGGCATAATTACAATTCAAACGTCATCGCTATTATTGAGTCATTATGACACCACATTGGTTCGTGTGTTCGTAACGGATAGTTGCACACTGCTTCTCCACCAGTAGTGATTCTAGAGAACGCTCACAACTCATGAGTCACCGTTGTATCCGTCCGGACGGTTTCCAACCAACTTCCAACTAGCAGTGTCTAGAGACTCACGCGCATGTTTACACGCATGCCTATTGTGTTGCTACTAGTGCGTGAAAGAACGGTTCAGTGTTAGTTTCCAGTGTTTGCAAACGTGCCAATCTTTACGGATTTTTGGATTCGTGCCCTTTTTTTTTCATTTGGTAAGCACTGCTATTGATTTCAATAAATTTCTTTTCGTTCCCTTTTATTGGATGAGTTATCTTTTTAGTTACATCCTGTGGATTTTGTTTGGCATGAAAACAAGTGAATGCCAGAAATCTGAAAGTTGGTGGGCTGGTTACGGTTCAAAACATTTGTATTACTTCCCGAAGTTATTCGACTTTAATATAATTTGACGGTAAAAGTTTCAGTATTCAATGTGTGTATACCTATTATTTGAAGAGTTGACCATTATGAGGAAAATTTCAGCATATTGTTTTTCTTCTTCGATAAAATTCAATTTAAGGCTAATATAATCAAAACAGAACAGATTTTTTTTGGTGCCTCCTCGTTAGAATATATATTTTTAAATATTACTAGTTACTTTGGAGTTTACTAAACTAATAAATTCTCAACTTTAAAGAGGTTTAAACGAAAAGTCGTTATTCAAGTTACATTCTATTTAATTTTCTTGTGACTGTAAAAGTTGTAAACACGTTTAATTTTTTTATCTATTTTATTTATTTTTCCTTTAGTTCGATTTTATAATTTGTTTATGTCTAAATTACTTATAATTATAATAAGAAAAGACAATAAAATAAATCTCATTAGTTCAAACTTTAGATAGAAATTGTGTGCAATTGTTGCGTATTGAAATCGCGAATCGATTTCAAATGCCCATTGTCTATTCTCCGCCATCGTGAAAAACCATGCATAGACCAGTCGTTTCCCGAAATTGTAATTGTAAAGGTCGTTATTGGGTCGTCACATCAATTGTTATTGTCGGTGTTTGTTCCCAAATCCAATATAGGTTGTAAGTACATACATACTTGTTGGTTATAGTAACATACTTGTTTCCTTATAAAACTGATAATGCATATTAACTTTTAATGTTTTTTTAAATATAAAATTAGCGGATTTTAATATAGGTATGATAACTGGGCAAAAAAAAAGAAATTCTTTAGGTATAGTCCGTCAGTCGGAAAATCCAAATATACTACAAACATATTATTTCACTTCAATTTAATAAGAAATGACTTAGATAATGGGCATTATAGGGAAAGAGTGGGGGCACGATACGTCACAACTATGTAGAAAATGTACGACATTTCAACTCTATGTATCGCCGTGCTTTATTGACTAAAATAAAAAAAAAAACTGAAAGATTCTTCAATTATCTCTATCTGACGGACTGACAGACAAAAAATTAGTCATCATCCCTACTCTAATCAAAGATTTCTTAGTGCTTTTTGTATTTTAACGCTACCTAGTATTCAGTCTTAGGTTTAGGTCAATCCAACCCTTGTATGAGTCAAGCACTTCACAAACATTGTTCAATGAAACCTCTAACAAAAGCCAAGCTTTTCCCGGATGTTATGAAAGTACTTTATCACAGTTTTGGTTAAATATATTATGTCGACCTTGGGGAGAAAACACGTCAAAGAACCGAGGAAATATTCCCATATTTCACCCCTGTCCTTTACAAATGTTTGGTGAGAAAACAATTCACGCTAGTGGCATCGAGATAAGGACCTTGAATCTGAATCTTTTAACTATGTAAATGCTTTAATTATTTCGAAGAATATATTCAAAGAATAAGTTTAATACATCGTTAGACGTATTTCTAATCTATCTAAATCATATAATATGCAATACAGTCACTTACAGGGCTGATCTGACCCGCCTGGCACTACTCCCGAACGAAATATAAATATAGAACAGAAAATATTGCTGGAAAACAAACTGCGCTTCTAGTAGCAACTTTCTGTTTCATATATTTTAAGTTCATTTGTTGAACTGTAGGTTAATTGTTTCCGAACTAGTTACCTTTCAAAAACATTATTCAGTTTTAATTACTACATCTGAGGACGTTCATTAAAATGTATATAAAGCCTGTCGTTTAGTTTGTCCGTTATACACCTGTACGTTACCTTGCGAATGTAGAGCACGCTAAGAGGCTCTCTTATATCTTGCTAGTCTCACCTTACTTCACGTTAATCAGAACGGTTGCTTGTGAGAGCTCGTATCAACTCAGACAGTTTCAGTAAGAGGGTTATTCTTTTTTAATTTATGAAAGTTATATAGAAAGGAAGTATTAGGATATGGCTCAAGCGTGACCACATTTTTGCTGTTTCAATTTGTTGAGCATATAAGGCGTTAGTAAACGGACACATGGCCAGTGTAAGTGGAACAGATGGTCGCATAGTGTCAGTGTGGATAAGCATCTTATTGTGCGATAAAAAATGTACACTCGTATATTTAATGTTTTATATCGGTTCAGTCATTTGGTCTCGAAATTTAGGGATCGCTCCTAGACATCATTATCTAATCTGATTCAGAAAAATATAACCCATCGTTTTACTATAGGCATTAAATAAAGCTTGACGACGGATAGTTGCTGTTAAGTTTCAAAGAATAAAATTCTTATTATAAACAAGAAGTTAAGTTTTTTTTTCTGCAATCTACTTTCCTACTAATTAATCGATTAAAAGTATTTTCAAATTGTGTTTTTTATTTAAATACCTACAGATAAAAAGTAATCGATGGCATTGTAGAATCTGTTGTAGGAGAAAACATGTTACCACTAATTTTGTAGTTTCTAAAGACTCATTTCCTTTAATGGGTAGCCGTAAAAGTATTTATGTAATGGTTTCTCGGTTATTTAAAACGACCTTGGCCGTGCGGTCTAAAATAGACTGCACAATATGTGCTACACCTCTTATAACGATAGCAGCTTAGCAGTGTTATTTCATATACATAATTGTATAGTAATTATTTTATAAAATTAGACTAAATCCTTTTTTAACCTAATTTAATTTAAAAGAAAATCCTTTTCGATGTTTTTTAATCTAAATGCTCGCGACGAATAAGGTTTTAGTATTGTGCAAATGGGGTAAATTACCATCATGAAGATGTTAGAAAAAAAAATATATATATATATATATTTTATATAGGCGGTTCGCTAATACAAAATAAGGTAAAATATCTAATAATTCTATTAAACAAAAATAAATCAGTTTAAATTTTTACAAACTTATAAAAAACACTTAGTAAAATCATGAAAGGCAAAAGCTTCTTACGTCGTTGTTCGGCAAATGTATAGCAGAAAGTCGTGTACTGATGAGATCTACCATAAATCTGAGTATTTTTTACCTAGCTAGTTTAGCTATAAGTAGAACGTGAAATACTGATTTCAACACTTACAAATTCATGTACTGTTAATTTATGCTACAATAATCACAGCTTTCTTTACTGTAGAATTTTTGGAATTCATGTTTACTTACTTATTTCTGAAAACCAACAGCAATAGCTACAATAAAAAATAAACTTGGTTTATTTTTAAACCAATTTTTTTAACCATGTTTTTATTTTATTTTATTGCATTGGCATATACCATTTCTTCACTGTATTTTAATAGAATAGCAAAGAAACATTATAGTTGACTTAGAAAAATATGTGATATTATTGATATGATAACACTGCAAAAAAAAAGGTTTTCTTCAATAGTATTGATAGTGGAATATGAATACAATAGTATTGATAGTGGAAATTTAGTCAATGCCATCACTAGTATTGAATCTACATAGTATTCACGTACTATCGATACTCAAAGTACGATACTTACTAACGATATAGTGGTCAAGAATAATCATAAAGCGTATTAAACCATATTTGATTAGGTTAGGATAGAGTATGACAAATGATGCCAGAAGCGAATAGCTATAGTAAAATGAAACACCTAGTTAAACCGACTAATGCTCAGAACCTGTCGTGGCTTTTCTTCATTGCCACAACGCGTTTAGTTTGAATAGCATATTCGCCGCGACATGGATTACGCTATGCAATACACAACGCGTCGTGAGCGCTTCGATTAGAACCATGAGCCATAACACGAACTTTGCTATGTGGTTCTTTTGCGATTGCCACGACGCGTTGTGAATAATTTTTTCGCTCAATGCGATTGCGATTTCGATCTTTGTGTGTAATAAAAAATACAGCGTCGAGCGAAGCCTGGAGCACTACGCTTTCGTGGTATTAGAAGTTCTAATAAATCAAAAGGTAATAAAGGACTTATTTGATTAGATCTGTAATTTTATAACAACGCTGTTACAACGCTGCGTTCAATAATATATTTTTATAGCAAAGTCCATTCTATTCATTCAATCCTCTAAAGAAGTTAAAGGGAAAATTCATTATTTTGAAATCTACCAACTTTAAAATATCTTCATTATTCGCGATTTCCTTTTGCAAACAAATTTTAAATATCGTATAGCCGCTTTTGATCTTGTATGCGCACGGGTGTTTTTTAATAAATGGTTTTATCTTCAAGAGTCGATCATTAAAAATGTTTAACGTACCGATATCACTTACTGGAGACCGCAATATAGTTTGTACAGCTACTTCTCCGCTTTTGCGTTGTGGTCTTATGGTTATTTGTTTTCATTCATTCATTCATTCATTACCAGTTTAGTTACGGGAAGGTGGTGTCTATTTTATAAAAGTAATGCCCAACTGTCGGAATTCGACCATAAAGTTTAATCATTATTAAGGTCACATCAACGTCTACTTCTTTATTATTGTTTGACATTCAATAAGCAAAAGTTACTTCTGAAATTAAATTAACTGTGTTGAATTTTTTCGTTTTAAATAGTGTGATTTATAAATCGGAAAAACGGCACTTCCTTTTATCACTTTATTTTATTGACAAGCTTTGTAATTTGTTTTCGTATTCTCATCTCATAGTTTTATAGGTACGTACTGTTAATTGAATTTTTACTCAGAATATTATGGCAATAATGAAGGAATATATTAGAGGCTGTCATAAAGCAAGCCATTTGCATATTAATCAGTTTCTTGTAGTCTGCTCTTTACTACTATCTTATCTTTATCGTTTAATTAAAGTTCACAAGTCTATGTAAGACATTAGTATACATTTTATTATCAAGAATTACGAATTTTAATACAAATGTGATGGCGATATTGCTTGTATTAATTTTGAGGG